TGCAATCCCTGATCTCTGGGAAGGGAAAGGGGCTGGAGATTGGGTTCACTCAACAACAGCCAACAATTTCATCAGTCAAACCTGTGTAGTAAAAACTTGGTTCAAACTCTGCAGCAAGGAGGCTAGGAGCTTCTGGGTTGGTGACATATGGATGTGTTGGGAGGATGGCGTTCCTGGAGGGGGCTTGGAAGTTCTGTTTTCATGGCTGTTCCCCAGCCATACCTTGCCCTATCAATCTCTACCATTTGGCTGCATCTGAGCTGTATGCTTCATAATAAAACTTCATAATAAAACTGTATGCTTCATAACAAAAACTTCATAATAAAACATAATAAAACTTCATAATAAAAATAAAAACATAAATAAAACTTCAAAATAAAACATAAGTGTAGGGATTTTCTGAATTCTGCGAGTCATTGTTACCCAAAGGAGTCCCGATCTAGACCCCAAAAGGGGGTTCTTGGACCTCACGCAAGGAAGACTTCCGGGCAAGTCCAAAGAGTAAAGTGAAATCAAGGTTATTGGAAAGTAAAGGAATAAAGAATGGCTATTCCACAGGCAGAGCAGCCCCGAGGGCTGCTGGTTGGCTATTTTTATGGTTATTTCTTGATTACATGCCGGGCAAGGGGTGGATTATTCATGAGTTTTCCAGGAAAGGGGTGAGCAGTTCTCAGAACTGAGGCTTCCGACTTTTTTTAGACCCTATAGGGTAACTTCCCAACATTGCCCTGGCGTCTGTAAACTGTCTCGTGCTGGTGGGAGTGTTTCTTAGCATGTCAATGTATTGTGATTAGCATATAATGAGCAGTGAGGATAACCAGAGATCACTTTCACTGGCATCTTGCTTTTGGTGGGTTTTCACCGGCTTCTTTACGGCACCCGTTTATCAGCAAGGTTTTTGTGACGTGTATCTTATGCTGATCTCCTATCTCATCCTGTGACTTAGAATGCCTGACCTCCTGGAATGCAGCTCAGTAGGTCTCAGCCTCATTTTACCCAGCCCCTATTCAAGATGGAGTCGCTCTGGTTCGAATGCCTCTGGTAATTCTAGCAAAATGCCAAACTTATTGATGGGGGTCCTGGAAAGCCCCCAATTTGTAGTCCCTAGGCAGAAGTGCAGTTAGCCTGGGGACCCCATTTGCATATGGCATCTGAAGTGCGGTCAGTCTTGTGGGACTGAGCGTTTAACCTGTGGAGTCTGCACTAAATGCCAGGTGGTGTCAGAATTTAATTGAATTGTGGGACACCCAGTTGGTGCTGGAGAACCGGGTTTTGGACAAATGGAACAGACAAGTGTTTCCTATTGGGAAAAACCAACTCATAATATGAAAACATTGTGGCTGGAATAATGTCTCTGAAATTGCGTAGTTTACTATTTAGAAGATAAACACTCAAAAGTGTTTTTAAAATATTTAGTGGAGTGGCCAGGCCTGGTGGCTCACGCCTGTTATCTCAGCACTTCGGGAGGCCAAGGCAGGCAGATCACGAGGTCAGGAGATCGAGACCATCCTGGCCAACATGGTGAAACCCCGTCTCTACTAAAAAAATGCAAAAAATTAGCTGGTTGTGGTGGCGGGCGCCTGTAGTCCCAGCTACTCGGGAGGCTGAGGCAGGAGAATTGCTTGAACCTGGGAGGCAGAGTTTGCAGTGAGCAGAGATCATGACACTGCACTCCAGCCTGGGCGAAAAAGAAAAACCCCATTCCAAAAAAAAAAAAAAGATTTAGTGGGAAAGAAAAAAAATTGTCAGGCTGTTTCTTACTATTTATGTGTTTACATGGTGTTTTATAGTGTAATAAAGTAGAAGTTATACTACTATATGGTTTTCTTTGACTGTTGTTTCCTGTGGTTTTGACCAAATACTTCATAACACTGTCTCAGCCTGTAGCCAATGGAAACATCTAAAATGTCAATATGATGGATTGTAGGTTTAGCAGTCTCTTTACTAAGGGATTTCCAGTATCCAGGTTTACTGCTGTCTACAATATTAATACTACAGTGACAATTTCATATGGTTCAACCTTATAGTAATGATGGCTCCTTATTGTCTATCACTTACACTTTAAAAAAAAAAAACCTACTGATTACAATCAGGACATTTTAGAAACTGCAAAAAGAAAAAAATACCCCATCCAGCAAGAAAACATAAATGTTAACTATACTTGGGAGGTATTTTTTAACAGGTTTCTTTTTTTCTATGTACACCTCTTCCCTTTTTTCAAAAACATTTTGTGATTGTACTGTGAATAATTAAAATAAAAGAAATTGTGGGGAATGCTAAGACACAAAACACTAAAAAGAAAAAAAATGATTTATAATCTTACCACTTTGATAACATTTTGATGTCTTTTTTTCTTATAAAAACTGGGACCATTTAAGCTCTAAATACTGCTTTGTATGTATTTTTCTTTTTTCACTTAACATTTTAAATTCATAATTGAGATCATTTTGGACAAAGTGGGTGATGACAAATCTGATCCCTTCATACAAAGTGTTTCTATTGTTTTAAGAGTCAAAAGGAAGTTTAGGATTTCTGAGAAGTAACCGTTTCATCAGTGTTATATGTAGATCAGGGTAGCATTTTAATTCAGCAGAATTACTTTTTAGCAATTAGCACTTGATTAAAAAAAAAAGATAAATTGACTTGGAAAGAATGTAACTTTTAAATGTACCTTTTCTTCCTAGTAACTGACTCACTTGGAAATGCCATTCTGTCATTCTAGATTTATTGTTGGGTTAGATGGATGATGATTATCTGAAGGTTTTCTACCTTCTCTGACTCTACTACGTGAACACTGTAGTATCTAGAATAGAGATCAGCGATGGAGAATCCCATTCCATGGAATTTTACTGAATGTTGAAACTGTGAGCTCTCACATTTCACCAGTAATGGAGCAGAATGTGGAGTTCTGGAGCGAGGCTGCCTGGAGTAAAGTCACCTTTGATACTTGCTACCTGTGTGACCTGGCATAGGTTACTTAACCTCTCTGTTCTGTAGTTTTACATCTCTAAGTGGGGTTGGAAATAATAGAACCTACCCCATAGAGTTATTGTAAGGATTAAATGAGTAAATATCTGAAAAGTGCTTGAAATCGTAACTGTGTATACACATTATGCATCAATATGTGACTATTATTAATAGTATTTTTTTTCTATGTGTCTCACTGGTTGCTACTGGTTTTCAGAATTCTTATTTGGGTTTCATGCGAGTGACATTCATTTCTCCTCCTTAACATCGACTTCCCTATGTCTAGGATTTTCCTGATTACTTCTGTTTAGTCGTTACTTCGTTTGCCTTTTCTGAAGTGACCTTTATTTTCTCTCCCACTGCCCCCTTTACCTTGCCCTTTCTCTAACAGCAGTAGCGGGGACTTTGCACCAGGGGACTTCAGCTGGGATATATCCTTGGAGCTCCACATTTACTCATCCTCCTTTTCCAGTTCCTACGTTCTCAGAAGCCAGCCCACGTGCCTGTCTTGCAGGAACATTGCCCGACCTAACCTGTGACTAATTGGAAAACCCTCCGTTTAGGACTTTTGTAGTTCTCTGTTTAGTCATTATCTGCTTCCTGTTCCTGGAAGGAAGAGAAACACTGGCTTGCATGCGGGGATGTGGGTGCCTGACTGGCCTTGTGGTGCCACCTGAGCAGCGCTGTGTGGTCGCTGCTCACTCACCCCCAGGGATTACCTTTTCTGCACCCCACATTTAACACTGCCCCTTGCAGTCCAGCTCATGTGATTCCTTGTCCTTTTCTGGATGTTTTAGTTTATATTCCCAGCTGAGCTGTGAGCTTGGTGAGGATAGCAACTGCTTTGCTCTTATTACCACAGATAATAATAATCACAGCAATAATGGCTAGCATTTATCGAGTACTTAACTTGGATAAACCCTAGTAATCTCATATAAGGCTCAGAAACTACTAGTATTTTATGGATGAGGAAACTGAGGCACAGAGATGCTAACTGACTTTGCCTGGGGCCTCACAGCTAGGAAACAAATTGAACACAGTGCAGCCAAGAAAAAAGTCAGTTTCTGCTTTTGCTTCCTTGCTTCCTAGGGAGTAGTCTTGCTTCAGAGTTTGGGCCCTGCCTGCAACAGACGTTGGTTCAAATGTTGGCCCAGCCATTCCCTAGATGAGTGACTTCAACTTCAATACTTTGTTCTTGATCGTCTCCATTTCTAAGATGGGTTTAATAATAACACCTATCTCAGAGTTGTGGAGATAAGAAAAGATAATGTAAGTAAAAATTCCAGTAAAGGTTAGTTGCTGTTAGCAGTTGGTGGTAAAGTAGTTGAGCATCCTAGAGGCCCTGGATATGAAACTCATAAACCCCCAACACTCCACTGGGACATCAGTCGCCATCTCCCTCTCTCCCTCTGCCTGGTCGGGAGCTGGGTCAGTCTTCCTTTCTGACACCCTTGCTTCCCTCCAGCCGGCTCAGCACCACCCATTTTTTCCCCATGTGATTAGTTTGTGTCCTATTCTGCAGGGTGGAAATGACTTGGCTGGACTTCCAACCCTAACAGGTGCCAGTTGTGCCCAGAAACCAGGGATCTAGCTCCCCAAGGATTGGTTTCCTGCACCAGCTTTCTGTAAGCTCCAAGGAATTCACTGATTTCCTAAAGGATCACCCCCTTGACCCCAGTTCTTCCCGTTGCTGCTGGAGACGGGCTGAGATGGCATGTTTCCTCCTATTTGATGGTTTTTTTCTGCCCCTTGCTACTTAGCCTTCCTCCCATAGTTTAAATAATTTCTAACTTAGTTCTTGCTTGTCCTCTTGCAAGGAATGTACATGAACAGATCTGTTAGGAATCGCAGCCATTTGGAAATTGGGCAGTAGCCGTTGGTGAGGTTGTGTAAGCTTGGATTTAGCGTTCTCTTATGGATCTGGCAGTTGGGGATGAATTGGAGTCCTGTGAAAATCCAGTTGAGAGCTAGTTCCCCATGCTGGGTTTAGGAATGTGCTGCTATTTATAGCCTTTCTTTTGAATCTTTGCAAGCTGGAACCTTCTGTTGATTTTGGTGAATCCGGGAGCATGCTGGTATATTTACATCCTTCAGAAAAGACTTACCCAACAAGGGTGTGAAGCTGTGGGGTGTATCAGTTGTCCAGCTCTGAAAAGAATCTACTTATTTATGTTTGTAAAAGCTGTGAGTATTTGGCAAACGGGGTGTAAGTACAGTGGACATTCTGTTCTACCAAATAGGGTCTTAACAAAACTGCTTATAAAGTTACAGTGAACTTGGGGACTTGATTACCCGGCAGCCCTTCCGCAATGAGAGAATTTGCTTTCACATGTCCGCTGGAGCAGATGTTTCAGGCACTCCTACTGTGTTGCAGGAACTGTGTTAGGGATTAGAGGTACAAACCTTCACTTCCCCACGTCCACTACGGGAAAGAGGTGTTTGACTTCAGTCAGGGTTTTCCGGCGAGTTCTGCGTCCTGTTGGGATTCCTGCCTTTGACTGTGGTATGTCTGAGTGGTGCGCTGTTGTAATGGGTGGGGAAAATGTCCTCCTAAGCTTTGGTTCTTCTGCTTGGCTCATTTCTCTGCCTCCACCCAGTGATATCATGTAGTCCACTGATTTATTTACAGAATGATGATATTACCTAACTTCTTGGGATTAGGGATTTCAAATAAAAGAATGAATGTGAAAGTGCATTGAAAAGCGTGTTATTTGGGTGGGAACTTGTATATCTTGTACTGTGTGTCCCTATTTCATGTGTATGATTGAAAATTTTCTTTATTCCTTTCCTTTCTTTTTAAATATTTTTTTCTGAAAGATTTTTAGGTGCCATGTAATTAACATTGCTGGTACAAATTATGTTTGTGGCAACCATTGAATAATAGTTTTGGAGCAATAATGTGAACACATACATCAGTGAATAAGGTGCTTTTCAATAGCTAGAGAAAGGTTATTTACCTTTATGATAGGTATAGAGGGAGATGAAGTAGTTTATACATGAGTGATTTTTTTTTTCTTTGAGACGGAGTCTCGCTCTGTCACAGTGGCACGATCTCTGCTCACTACACGCTCCGTCTCCTGGATTCAACCCTGGGTTCAAGCAATTCACCTGCCTCAGCCTCCTGAGTAGCTGGGACTACAGGCACGTGCCATCATGCCCAGCTAATTTTTGTATTTTTAGTAGAGATGGGGTTTCACCATGTTGGCCGAGATGGTCTTGATCTCTTGACCTTGTGATCCACCCGCCTCGGCCTCCCAAAGTGCTGAGATTGCAGGCTTGAGCCACTGTGCCCAGTCAATGTTTTGTTTTTTGCAGTTAAAATTAATATTGGGAAATTTTGTGCTATCAGGATTTTTAAAAAATGAAGTCAGCACAAATTTCATTCACCTACAGCTGACTTCAATCTTTTTTTTTATGAAGATGATTTTTACACCAGAAGAAGGTATGTGCACGTTCCAGTGTTAATCATATACCATAGTGTCGTTGGAGAGAGGCAGCTTCTTAGTGTTTAAGGGCCTTGGGTGGGTGAATGTTGACCTGTATGCAGCCCAGCTGTGTGGTTCATCGGTGATAGTTTAACAAAGCCACCTAAAGGCGTGGGTCACTAGATAAAACCCAAGGCCACCGCCACTTACAGACACTGTTAAGCAGCATGGCTAAGAGTGTGGACTCCAGGATTCCGTTGTCTGGGTTGGATCCTGTCCTCCTACACACCGAGGCTTGTTATTGAACACCTGTGCCTCATTTTCCTCGTCTGCGAATGGGGGTAACGAGAGACACTTCCTTACAGATGCTGCGAGGGTAGAATGAGATTGCCCAGGAAGCATCCAGAACAGTGCCTGACACCGCCAACACCCCGTGAATGCTGCGGTTGACAATTATTTTAAAGTAGCAACTCATTCTTTATGATGTACCACCTTTCAGAAATAATCTGAAGCAATATTAGATTTCTGAAGCCCTGTTGCTTTAAGGTCGCTTCAAACAAATGGCTTCTAAATAATTCCATTTCTTTCTTGAATGGACATAATGTGTAGTTTTAAAGGTTCTCAAGGGCCGTTAGTCAGAGTCTCCCTCCATTCCTGTTGTGCAGCCACCCAGCCCCTTCCCAGGAGACAGGCAGTGCTATCAGTAAATAAAGACTTTGGAAAAGTCCACAAATGGACAGCACCAAAAATAGCAACAGGAGGAGGGGCAGCGAAAGAGGGAGGGAGGGGCTGGAGAACAGGAAAAGAAGATGGGGAGAAAGTCCGCAGGGAGCCCTCCCAGTCCTTGAGCCCCACGGGTATTGCTTTTCCTCACACCCCTCTCTGAGGACCCCAGTGATGGGTGCCGCCATCAGCAAGGGTCTGTGGGAATCTCCTCAGTCTTCTGTCTTAGAGGCACAGTTGGTGGCTTCCTGGCCTGTGTCTCAAAGCAAATAACTGGAGAGCTGACCTTGTTCCAGTCTGGGGTGAGGCCAGGTCAGATGAGCCTTCTGTTATATCCTGAATGCAAACCATTGTTTGAGATACTCTGGAAGAGTCCAGAAGTTGAGGTCCTTGGCCTCTCAAGACACTGAGATCCTAGAGTTAATTTCCTCCCAAGATGGAGCTTTGGGCGAGGTGGAAGGTGGGGGAGATGGGGGGATGGGGGTGGCTGTAGCTGTCATCTGTGTTGGAGTTCTGTGGCTTTAAGAAATAACTTCAAATGGTAAACCTGAGACAGTGTGGAGTAGGCTAGGGACTTTCTCTGACTCTGCAAAGTTATTTTTCTCCCTTCAGTTCAAATTAAAGCCAGGGATGGTAAATATTTAGATTTCTTCTTCTTCTTTTTTTTTTTTTTTAAGATGTTTCTTTATATTGACATCACTCGAGTTTCAGTCCTTTGTTCTGGTAGCAACCTGGGGTTCAGGAATGCTCTGAGTGCCCCAGCCTGCTGCCTGTCACGAGTGTCCTGTTCCCTTTTTATCCAGCCAACTTCAGTTATTCTGTTGAGGGTCAGCATAAAGTCCTTTTTCTTTCTGGATCATCTTTGTTACTTCCCTTCTCAACCTATGTGACATTTAAGAAGGAAGCCCCAGCTTAAGGATAGGTTATGCCCCAAATACTACATTTCAGTAATTAGATTGTAAGTTGAGATGCATTTTCCCATTAAAAATGATAATTATCATTAGTAATGATAATTTTTCAAGGCACCCGTTAGCCAAATGCATCTGAAAATAAGTTTTTATCGCTAGGCATTGCTGACTTCTGCACGTTTTGTTGGGGAAGTTGTCTGGGCTTCCATCTGTTCCCAGAGTGGTCTTTGGAACCCAGAATCAGACTCCAGTGCTCCTGTCTTGTGGTAGCATTTCAGGAATTTTAACACAATACAGGTAATTGAGGAACTGTATGCAGCTGGGGTTGGGTGGGATTTTGCTTCATGGGTGGGTGGGATTTTGTTTCATGGGTGGCTGGACTTTGGCAGGTGGGTGCCATCTGGTAGACCCCTCCCTGCCCAGTCACAGCTGCCTTTTCGGGGAAAGGTGGGGCTGTAGCCCCTGTTTGTCTAGGAATTGATCGCAAGCCGGTAGCTGCTTCAAGTTTCACTACAGAGTTCAGCACTTATTTATATACTGACTAACAGTGTTCTCCAATTCCGTTTAAGCCCGTTTGTTCTCTCTACAACATATTCTTGAGCTTGGGCACATACTGTGTCTTTATGATTGCTACTGTGAGTAGATGGTCTTAGAGACTCTGACTTTAGTTATTTCTGTAACCAAATAGGAATAATTTGGGGATGATTTTATTTTGTAGAACTTGCTTTGGTTTCTCTTCTTTTATTATTGTGGGCAGTTATTTAAACTGTATTTAAAGAATTAACTTGACTGGGTGTGGTGGCTCATGCCTATAATCCTAGCACTTTGAAAGGCCAAGGAGGGTGGATTGCCTGAGCTCAGGAATTCGAGACCAGCCTGGGCAACATGGTGAAACTCTGTCTCTGCTAATATACAAAAAATTAGCCGGGCCTTGCGGTGTGCGCCTGTAATCCTAGCTACTCGGGAGGCTGAGGCAGGAGAATTGCTTGAACCTGGGAGGCGGAGGTTGCAGTGAGCTGAGATCCTGCTGCTGCACTCCAGCTTGGGTGACAGAGTGACTCTGTCTCAAAAAATGAACAGAATTAACTTAAAAGAGGTTGTTTTGCACTAGTAGTAAGCTGCTAGCTACTGACTAGGTAATAGGTCCTAGCTCTACCAAAGTAGGACTGAGAGGCAGTAGGTGGACTAGTTACAGGTTCTGTCCTGAAACAGGATTTTTGTCCCAGGCTCTTACCAGTTTTTAACCATGTGACCTTGAGCAAGTGTAGTACCCTCAGCAATCTCCTTACTCTCAGTGTTGTGACAGTCGGAAACCCTTGGGGCTGGTAGTCTAAACTCTAAATGATGTGACCCCCTCCGAGGGGTCTAATCAGATCCATTAATGTTTATGCAGCAAACTAAGTGGAATGGAGATTGTGAATAGCCTCACATCAGGTCAGTGCAGGGTTTGCTACCAGATGAGTTTGTCAGATTTGATGTTGCTGTGAAAGGGGTTATGAAACAATTGGATTTGAGAGCTGTTGGGATTTGGCCTTGTGGACATGGAGGATGGACTTGTGTCTTCATCTCCAGCAGTGTCAGCCCT